AAACGGAACTGACGAAAACAAGCTTTATAAAAAGAAAACAATAATAATGCTGCTGCCTTCAATATGCTAAACCATAAAAACAGATTTCTCTAGATAATCTTCTTCTTTCTTACCGGTTGAATATTTGTCAAGTTCATGGACTATATGAATAATAGATAAAGCGGCTTTTTAACTTTTTATAGTTGCCAAATGAAACAGACCTAATTGAAGAAATACTTAGAAGTCATCGTTAGAAGCTCAATCAGTCCATGTTAATCATTACCTTACAAATGATATACCTGATCAAGCATTGTAAGTATGCCTAAACTGTATACCTCTCTTCTAACTAGTTACATAAAATAGGAGTTTCTTTTTAATGGGACCGATAATTTTCGCTGCATATGGCACGTAAAAGTATATGAAGGCTATGCTTCTTTTTGCGTCAATCAATTTCCCTATGGCTTAATCCTAACACAACCTAAAACTTGTTTGAACCTAGTATGTCGATAGTAAACCTCTAATAGAAATGGCTATCTCTGTTTGTTGTTGCATACAAACAAGATGGCAGTATAGACTTCTTTAGAGCTACCTGAATCCATTTCGTCTTTCTGCCTTCATCAGAGTCTCTCCAAATTGACCGTTCCTCCCTATCCCTTTTTACATATATATATATACACGCTCTCCCGCTCCCCGTCTAGCGCCCTTTTCAGCCCCTCGCCCGAAATCGTTAAAGCGCTGTCTGCCGGATCACATTACCCGACTACGGCCGTCCCACTATCTCTTGCCGTTGACGTCGTCCAGTCTATAACTATACCACACGCTCAAATGACGACAGCCGCCGTAGTAGGCTCATCATTAGGCCAGCAGGGTCCTTACAGGGATCAAGCCGCACGACGTGCACTGCTAGCTCCGCCGCGTAGGCTGTAAGCCCCCTCGTGGCGGGTGGCATCACCATAGAAACCCCCCCCAAAACGTACGTCTATTCTGGTCGTCCACTCTAACCGCGGTCACCAATGGTCAGCCCCAGTGGCAATATGGACGCGTTAGTGAGCCCCGCATACATTGCAGAAGCCATAACCAGCTGCCAACGCTTCTCCGTCTGGTCGTGCGTTGTTGCTTGTGCCGGACAGTGAGCGAGTTGTAACTGTGAGCTTAGCAAAACGACTCAGTCTCACTCTTTTGCCGTTTTTCTCTTCGTTCTTTTCTGTTGTGCCTGCATAAAAACGTTTGACGCCATCGACGTCACAAGTGACATTCACAGGATTCGAGTTAGTTCGCTCTTACCAGGTCGTCATTGGCCTTTATAATTCAGGTGGTTAGTTGATGCATAGCTCTGTTGAACCTGCTCCTCAACCTTCTTTCTCGTCGAGTTTAACGTTAGCATCATCTACAGGTCAGGACAACAAAGACAGTATAGGTATTCGAATGGTAAATTGTTATAACCTGACTGATCCGGACGGACAATGATATGGTAGTTGTACTTACTACTCTCCGCAGCGGCAGAAGCTGAGAAAATGTGGCATAAACATTATAACTGTTATGATACGCTGTGATTCGGCTGGCCTGGGAGTGGCCTCAGTGGGTCCCGGCAGTAAGAGTTAGAAAAACAACTTTTAAGAGAGTACCTTATCAAGGAGAAAGTGTTATTTCGGAAAGGAAGGAGGCGGCGTGGACGAAGAGAAAACAAACGGAAACATTGACGACGTCTATTGGATGCATGTGCATGGGCTCTCTGTATAAGGGACGCTCAATGTGTAGAAAGGCAAAGTCTAACAAACGTAAAAATCCGATGATCTTTTGTTTGCCTTTAAGTAGGTTTATGCCAGACACGTTGATTGCCATCGAAGTAGAGTTGTGCTAAGAAGCAGTATTTCGGCTTTAAGCAAGCCGTCGTTTAGCATGATCTAATAACTGGTCCAAGGATTAACGACGGGGTAGTTGACCTATGTAAGCGGTTGAAAAATTAAGCGTCCGAGTAAATAGCAGCCTAAGACTACCTTAACGGTGGTCGATCTCGGAAGTTCTGACTTCGATCCGAATGTGAGCCTGGCCGCAGTAACAGACGCATATTTGGTACAGATCGGGCTCCATTGTATTATTAAGCAGATTCTGATTGGGATCAGTGTGAGACGTGATTGTGAGTAAAAGGGCCGTCATCATGGTGTTAAGCGCATATTTGTGCTAAGAAGAGGCTAACTGCGACATAGTGCTGATTCAGCAGTGTCAATTAGGACGTGCCTAGAGGTGAGTAAGACTACTCAGTTGACTGGATAAGAAGGTCGTCCCTTCATTTGTCAGTTCCTCTATATGTCTTATTGTAAATATTTCCTATGTGAACATAAGTATCGGTTAATGTGAGCTTGTACAAAACAGGGTACCTTGGAACATCTAATTGTCGTTACCTTAAATAAGATCTACGATAAGATTTGTCGTATGTGAAGGAAAATTAATTGTGACTTTCATCCACGCACTGTAGATGTAGAATCCTACGTATGGGAAGCAAATGGCGTCAACTGGAAGCTCTTATATATCCATAAGAAGTCCATATAAGCTTTTACTAGAGCTGTATCTCATAACGTTTCTATTATTCCGCATCTGCACGATGCAGCGCTCGAAAAATGTATTTACACCTACCTATTGTAACAGTTTAACGTCCTTTTCAGGTATAAGGTAGTGCCCAGACGTGGCAAAATATGCCTGTTTGATCCGAGTATGCATTTATACAACCCAATATACATAATCACTGCTTAAATACTAAATGGTTGCAATATTATCTCAGGCGGCCGTGACGCTACTTTCGATGTGTCATCAATTTCCTTCGGTGATCTGTTGCCCATTGAGGTAAAAATATACGTTATTATCATGCAAAATCTATAGTTTAGTTTATCTAGGGACGGATACTTTCATTGGGTTTAGTTTCGAAAAGGGCACAGCTCGTACGCTTCTGTAACTTACAATCCGTATGGCTTCTAACCGTTTTTGTACATTTTCGTATCAATATGCATAGATGCCTGTATTTAGATTTCTTATTGTCGTAGGAGAAGATTTTATACATAACTGGCTTTAAGCAACTTAGCAGAGCTCCATTGGAACGAGAAATGTGCCAATACATTTTGACTAAAGTTTCAGTTTAATGAAGCAACCAAACGACCGTCAGTTAAATAGTTTGCTGAGAATTAAGGCAAAAAAGTATTCGAGTACTAATGATACTAGACGTTAAGACGCGATAACTGCCGATGATTTCTGTGTAAGTTTCTTAGGTATCCATACATTATAGTACTTCTTACAATAATTATTAATGGTAACTGAGGGAACGTAGACAACTTGCTGACCGTAAGAATTCAATGTTCGAGAAGACTTCATTTCTAAAAGCTGTCCACATTAAAAGATAATATAGAACATTGCGAAATCTCCAATCATATTTGTTTGTCGTATCACAGAGTATTGTCCTAATATTCTCCTACATAGCACGTTTATCAGCACTAAGAAACAGGGGCAAACTGGAACGGTGCATGTGGTGTGACGCCATTGAATGAAACCTGTGGCACAGGGCTGAATTTTCTTATTAGGTTGCATCGGGAATAAAATCTATGTCGTGTACAAAAAATCTATTACTTGTCGCCGGCATCATCTTTCGAGATAAAGTCCTTTGTTGGTAATAAAGGCTTCACACGATGTGGGGAAAATAGAAAGTAATGAAAAACTGCATAGAGATCATTGTGGCTATTTTCTTTTTAAGCTAGACAGAAAACATTTCCTAAGGCATCTTCGTTCCCAAGGAGCAATGCTTAATTTAATAACGTCCACTTACCGAAAGCCTTGCCCGTTTTTTCCTCCCTCATGTAAAAGCCTATTTGCCTTTCGTTTACACAAGATGATATACAAGGTAGTTGCCTATCATATCAAAAGAGATGGACGATGCCGTAGAAGTATCCCCATAGGAAGCGGACGGTTAGACAAGCCTCTCTTACGAGACAAGGTCACCCAGGAAAAGCCGTCGCAGAAAACCTAATAGTATCGCCCAGTCTTACCAAAGCATTGTATCACTTCAGAGATTATAGTGCCCTCAGTGTCGTTCTAGACTGTGGACAAGGCGAAGTGTGCCTAAGAAAGGTTCCTGAGTTGCGCTGGGACAACAAAGACAGGTTTTAAGTGGAAAAAGTGATGGAAGATACGGCCTTCTAGAGACTGGATAAGAGTAATAAACCAGTTTCCAAAATTAGATAATAGCAATTTCTTAGATGTTTTTGGACAAAAATGTTGAAGTCATCATCTGCGGTTGCAAGTGAATGTGTGATGATAGCGGACGGTTCTACCACCGAGACGGCTAATACCTATTCTATTTGTAGGTACATGGTCCTTGAGCGTGTCTACCTTGAACAAGGCAGATGCATTGGATAAGCACGGTAAGAGACTTTTAGATCTACCGAAACTTCCCATTAAGTTAATCGGCTCGGGCTTCACGTGCCTCTATGTTTCGAGTTTACCATTGCATCAGGCGACTGACTGTCAGCGCGAAACAATGTGTATCTATGCCCAGTTCGAATCTAGACCAACATATCCCAGATTAGCAGGCAAATACGTTACCCACTAAGCTATCACAGGGACTGGCCATAGGCCATACCACGGTGAATACACCTGTTTTCGTCCGATCATCGAAACTAGGCAACGTTGGGCCCGAGTAGTACCAGTAAGGGAGACTGTCTGGGAACATCGGGTGTGGATGGCTTCACGTGCCGCTCATACTTTTCAGGTCGAAACAAAGGCGAACGACTTTTAGTGTTCTAAGGTCGACTTGCTCGTACGTTCCCCTTACTGCCTTTGTTGGCTGCTCAAAAACACCCGGATTGCCTGTGCGTCACTCCTATAAACGGTTTGTTTACAGCTGTAACCAATAAAACCGTTAGACGTTAAGAACAACTCATAGAAAGGCCTTACGTCTACGCAAATGAAGGCAACTCAAGATAAACCTGATTGTACGCTAGCGTCTAACCAATATGTCATCGTTTTGTACTTTTCAGAGGCTCCTTCTGTGCCGAAATTACATGTGTCAGAGCATTTGGGGCATCTGGATTTTCTCGGTGAGTCTACTGATTTTTCGTTTCATCGAAATTGGCGCCCCCATATTTCGATCTTTGAATTATTCATTTGAATATTGAGAACGTCTAGCGTACACTGAGGTTAAGCAAGGTAGTTCGTCTTATTGTTTGCGGTTTGTCAAAGCAATAAGAGGGTCGCAGTAGCTGCAAAAACAAACAGGTATAAAACCAGAATCGAGAAGTAGCTGGCTCGTTTGTTCTTTCCATCAATATGAATAATTAAGCGAGTGGCTTCTTCCGTTCAGGCACCAGGCCAATCGAAATTCCGGCAAATTCACGTGAAATCTATTCGAAAGGGCACATTCGACGTTTTTAGCATGTTTCATACTAGACTCCATTAAAAACATTGCAGACCGAGACGGATCGTGTCTATCGCCTAATGGGAAAAACGCTATCTGACAGGCAGATGATACGAAAACCAACCCTCATGTCGGCTTGTGCATCGTGCACCTCGTATGAGAAATAAACTAAGAACAAAGTTGAATGATAACCGTACAAAAAGAAGTGAAGCTTTTGAAGTAAAAAAATGTCCTGTCATTTATACGTCTATAATATCTAATGTCGTTTCTTAGTTATAAAGATTACAAGCAAATTAGTCAAGTGTACATGCAAATCATTTGAGCTCGCATTTCCGCGGTACATGGAAGCTAACGGGAAATCAAGTTCAACCTTAGCAGTAGAGATGGCCAGTTGTGCACTTTAACTTACGGCTCACCTTTGGGAAAGAGTAAACCAGCTGACATGGTTCGCTTTTCGTAGACATTTGAAAGTATCTTTAATCATAATTTAAGCTAATTTGAACGGGCGTTTACTTAAGATTGGTTTAGAGAAAGTCTTAGTAATGTGGTACTATAACGGTTAGCACAGAAGCCTCGAATATTATAACTTACGTTCCTTCGTCCACTGAAAAAACGACACAATATAATCTTATGAAGAGGACTGCATACAGTAATATACCTAGCCTGTAGTCGTTAAGGTTTTTTGTGTACGCCTCACGAATTCGCTGAAAGCAATATCAATTCTCTCAAGGACGAACCCTATCGTAAATGGAACTGTAGAACCGCAAAGACTTGGAATCAGAAAACTTAATCGGTCGCTGTGAAATTAATTGAAGATGCGTCTGGGAGATGCGCAATCGGAAATCGTCTGACGCACCGAATAGCAATTTTTCAAACGAAATAGTGGCACTGAGGGCTTCAGAGCGCATTTCGAAAAACTATATGGCCATATGGAATAAATGTTTATAGGCACTCCGAAAATTTGTCGGTGTTGAGCTGAGCGTGGCTACGTACAAACATTTCGATGGCGGATTACCTGTCTTCTATGAATTGTAAATGGACTTCTTGAACTTCGAGGTCGTATTTTCCTGTACATTTAGCATGCTTGTGTCTTTAGTTCCTTCGTCAAAGCTGTTGATCAGAAATTTTTGTGCTGACTAACTCTTGTGAGTGATCTGAAATCAATGTTAAATCCGTGACGGACAAATAGTGTGAAATTATCATAGAGAAGTTATGACCGTAGACCTTAATAGTTCAACAATTCAATTTAATACCTTCACTAGGCAATAGTTACCAGACGAACACTATATTTTCATAAGCTACATCTTCAAGTTGTGACGTATGGGCCAGTATTTTGGCGTTTTGAAAATCATTTATAAGCCTAGTTGTTTGTACATAACGTCGGTGTTTGGAAAAAAAATATAGGCCATATAATGATCAGGAAAAGTGAAACAAAAGTTCGCATTCCCTCGAATTTTACCAAATACAAATGATCATATTGCTTATTTCGTTCGTTTCTTCTCAGCCAGCTCACGGGTGCCCTGTGTACGTTAAACACTACTTAAGTTCGTCGAATCACTCTATTCGATCGCGGCATGCACCTAATGATATATGCTCTAATATATGTTCAATATTAACTTTATAAGCAATTTTTTCACCGCCGGCATTGACTGTAGGAGGCAACTTTTCGAGCGAAGATACAATTTGAAGGCGTCTATATGCTAGAGCGAGAAATATTGATTCCTTATCCACTGATGAGTTGAACTAGTTGTAAACTTCCTAAGGGTGGATGAACCCAATCTTTGAAACTATACAGACGCGATGACTCATCGAAAACGCGTGCGTCGTTGCCGGCGACTTCAATAGAAGGACTTCAATAGAAGACTGCTAAATACAGAGGTCGGATTATCGCAAGGACTCGAAAACCACCGCGTCTAGACTAGCAAGACTAACAGTCTTTCCGTGCTAAACGAAAGATCAAATTCATATCGTCCAGTTATAAAGCAATAAAAAAAAATATAGCACCAAAGAGATGCCATTTCAATACCTGTTTGTGAAGTTTAATGATGGTTCTAGCTATCCGCTCTAGCCACGTTGGGATAGTGTCCGTTCTGTTGATAAGAGAAAGGCGTTGATTTCATAGTAAAATACAAAAAGCTTCTACGAAAAGATAATCCGCGCATGAGAGGTCGTTGTCTGGCCTTTACTGATTAGAATCACTGCAGGGTACTCATTAACCTTTAAGAACATTGCGCCAACTTTTGTATACCTGTTGAAGTACAGGTCCCACTATCGACCAATATCATAAGCGCGACCAAGTACAGTTTATGATCTTGCCTCATAAAATACTGCAGCGTCATTTGTAGAGTATGTCGCAGTCTAAATGATATATAATTATATAACTAACACTAGTTAGTATACAACAAAGCCTCACCACAAGTGATAAATAGGTTTTGTGGAAAACGTGGCTTTTTTGCTTTACTAAGGACATAGTTTTTAGCGAGATAGACAAGTGCTGCACAGGCTTTGGTGCCAGTCTAACGGGTTCAGAAACTGCAATGTTCAAAAGCCAATAACGTGAATGAATCCGCGCCTCGCAGCACACAATATCAGATTCATATACGTGCCCTTCCAATCACGACCTCAAAAATGTGCAACATCTTAATGTAATTTTCTTTGAACTTAGGTCGTTACAAGGAGCCATTACGAAACTTGCATATGTTATAGATGCAAGGCATTTTTGTTTGTCCATGCTTATATGATTTTCTTCATTTATCACCATCAATGTGTCGCTCAACATGTTTACGTATGGATCAACGTACACAGCTAACGGTACCGTATCGGGGATGTAACATGTCGCATCTCCGCTTAGCCAGCTACTTGTCGCTAGATTTGATTCTAGCGATATTGTTTGATCTTGTTGTACGCGATAGTAATAATAACCATGGAAATCGCTCGTATTCAGGCTTGTGTCACAAATTTGAATTTTCAGAAGGCACCAGCAGACAGAATGTAAACTCTTCAGCTGCGGTTCGACTCTTTCGAGCCGATAACCCGGATATCTTCCGATGAGCCGCTCGTAATGGGTTGCCTTCGAACCTTCGCAGATAGGGATACATCTGTCGAGCAATGAAATATCTGTCACGGATTGATTGTGCAGAGCCACAGAAACAGGACAACAGGTAAGCGAATAGATCTGTACGGAAAGCGGTAATTTGTTCTAGGCCTTTTTGTGTTCTCTACCTCAAGTTCGACTTGCAGCATTTTGTCGTCTTGAAGCATGACTCTTAGATCTCGTAGATAACAGTATACTATGAAACAGTTAGCTTCATGAGCTCCCTTTGACTCAATATCATCTCTATTTCTGCTCTAGATTTTGTAAAACAATTGCGTGGCCAATAAAAGCTCTTTACTACACTGATCATAATGGATATAACTCTCACAACATAATGACCAGTGGCTTGGCTGATATGTTTTTTGGGCCTGCGAATAGTTCTAGGGGCACAGCTGCCCTCCTGTGAAAGGATCGGCAGGTTTTGTCTCACTTAAAACAATCGCTTATTGAGCTTAAGAATAACGTCTTTAGATGTTCCCCTTCAGTGGAGGTAGCCGTTTTGGTTTTTGTATGTCGTGGAATAGGTAGAATAATCCAGGTTTGACGTACCTTCCTTGCAAATACAGTTACTACAATGGCATTGGAAGTGCAGCGAAGCTTTCTGTGGAAGAGCTAATCAAGTAAATCATACTGCTAGCATTCATTATATGTGCTTTTGCGTAAGTACGTACGTATTTACTTTGATTGCGCTCGCATATTGATAGATAACATATTAACAAAAATTTTTAACCTGTTTATTACGGACCATAGCCTCTTCGGAGAACATTTTTGGTTGCATGAAAAAACTTGTATTACAAAGTAAACGTCGCCATGCACGACAGGACTTCCAATTTGTAGCCAATTATTAATTTCTCGTTCGGGTAATATTCTCATGTAGAGAGGTCCAAATGTATTCACCCCCAAGCCAAAATGACAACGACTATGATTTACTATGTATTGGAAGGACACATCCAGCAGCGACCGCTTTTAACGCGTGCGGCCTGACTGAATATAGGTGAAACGCCACGTTATTAGAATAAGGAACACTTGGCGATTGTAAAGCGCCTTGCAAGAATCAATAGGTAAAATATTCGGCAATTTGTGCCTATAACAGCTATATCCAATGTATTTTCGTTCTAGAGGGTCAGTATGGTTTTATACGATAAGTGTACCTTATTCCTATTGGAGCTTCCCACCGTTTTGGCGAACACGTTATAGAAGCAGCTGGATGCTAAAGAGAGCTAGAATTTCTTCTTCAACAAGTTTCGTTTGATATTTTGGGAATGATATTCGGAAATAATGGAAGTACCCCTGAAGACCCTTCAATTTACAGGTTTCAATGAACAGAATTGCCACAACAACTGATTGCTAATTGCAATCTTTAAAACGTTTAATGAAATTATTCTAAAGAAAACAAGGATAGATGAGAGAAAAATAGGTTTTTAGACATTTTCATGAAGCAAAGAAGCGCATTTAATTGCAACTTCTGTGAATCTTGTTGAGTAACGTACATTATAAGCGTGTCGAAACGCAATTCGGTCCACTGACAAGCTATGTTTTTTTTGGTCCTGACTGAAGATAGAAAGGGAGGTGTCCGTTGAAAGCTGCCCCTGTCCACACGGCAAACGGCTCGAACTTGCAAGTTATTCTATAACTTCTGATAGTCTGAAGTGAGAACAAGTGCGATAGTTCTGTACTGCATGCGTATAATAGCCATTCACATCAAAACAACGAAACGGGGAATTAATAGGAAGTTCAAAGTTTACGGCGTTTTTTTCAATTTCCAGTTTCGGCACCGTTGTCACTCGCCGATCTCGAACAATTATTATTTCTTTTATAAATTGTCAGTAACTTCAAACGCAATTGATTCATTTTTTATTTCAATTTATAGCACTGCATTTTGCACGCGGACTCGGTTGACTTGAAAGACAATTAATAGAACAGCAGCGAAGAAAAGCACTTCTAGATATAGTTTTCATGGACATCATCAAGTTCCGTGTGAATTCTCGTTACTTCACAGATTGACTTAGCTTCTATACGATACAATTATGCATGGCCTAGACAGCCCCGGAGTAAGTGAGCATCTCTTCCACCCTTGAAGCTTTATCAAAGCTGTCCTTGAAGTCGCAACAGCGTAAACTGCCACATACCCCAGATCTATTTGTTTCGTGTCACCGCGCATGTCGTACTGTATACCACGAGACACTCTTCGACATTAGTTAGCAGATACTTTCGATGAGTTTCATTACTGCGGCGAACTGCTTCACGCTCCATCATGATCTCCAATAATCGTATGACGATTTCGCGCGCGCATTTTCAAATTAAGCCGTGATGTATCATGAAAACAAAGAAAAAAAAATAGGTCATTCTCTTTTATGTAACATTGCCAGGTGATAACGTAGCTATATTGGCCTGTAGACACTGTTTCCCAGCAATGAATGTATGTGATCTTTATTGTACGCTATACTGTAAACGACGTCGTGATATAACAAAAAGTGCTATCATAAAAACACATGTTTTTCTTTTCAAAACTGCTTAGAGCTAATAAATTTCCCATAATGTAACTTAAGGTAGAACCTTGATATAATAAAATAGCCTTATTTCATCCGCTAGTATATACATATATAAAAGACAACTTACTTCGTTTTACCTTCTTTCTGCTTTGAAATATATGCAGATAGACACTTTCAACCTGTCATCTTTTTTTTGAAATGCCAGGTAATTTTTGTTCCAATCTGTATACTTATATCGAAATATTTGCATGGCTTAAACCCCTAGCTTTAAGCATGTATAATAATTAATGTATAGATTATATTCGAGATATTTAATTATCCGAAATTTCTAACATTAGGCTATATTATTATTATCTATATTTTGTTAGTTGTTTATAGGGAAATATCATCTTCATAAATTCGATCAAATGTTGATCTGGATATTGTAATAACTACGAGGGTTAAATGCTGCAGACAGGACATTACATTATGCCGTCGACCATATTTATTATCCAAAGCTTATTCCTACAAAAGGACCTCGTTTTCGATTTTCTGCTAACCTATATATTTAGATTAGTCGAACACCATACGACCGACTGTGTGTGTGTGTGTGTGTGTCTATAGGTCTTTTACAGCGTTAATAGTTCTACATAGGCAGGCTGGTAATACTTTAATAGGGCCTACAAATGTCATTTTTTCTTAAAGTCGCAAAATACAGGTGATTTTAGTTGTTTGTCGCCGCTAAAAAAAATATATATATATATATATATATATATATATATATATGTATATATATGTGCTCATTTCGCCTTTCCCATTACATTTTACGACTACGTTGGTCTTAAACGATTTTAAAGATGGAGATATTGGTTGAATAGGCTATAAGCCGTGTAGGTGTGTAAACAAACCCTTGTACCTTTTGACCAACGTCATTCATTTTCTAAAACGGTGTCAAGACCTCGCAGTCGATGTTATTGCCGCTGAGATCTGTCGTCTTTTTCTTTTATCAAAAAGCTTACGAATCCTTCTGCAATAGAATTCTCGGTTCTCGAACAATCTCATACAGTCGGGGCCCACATTCCCTCAATTTCTGAAAATCGTCTTCAAGCCTATCGACTTTGCACCGATCCAAATATGTCTGGCGAACTAACCGCATAAGAAAGACAGAACTTCTCGGCTGCATCAGAAGATAGTTTATCACATTTTTAAAGCCGTGTGGTTGATCTCATCAGTTAACGTTGATAGTTTTCTGTACTAGCCATTTTGCGAAATCTTGAAAGTTCAAAATTTCACTATTAACACAATACACAGAACTTCTTTTCTGTGTACGCCGCACGTATATATATATTTGATTGGTTATCCTGGGTCAGCCCGTGACGCTTTGCATTAGGGATCGAAGTAGCAGATCCGCTTCTCATCACTAGTAGCGGCGGGATGCAGAAAATATTTTTCTAACTGACTTTATGAAGCGAGTCCATTTTGTTAGCCTTGTTAGTCCTGTTTAGGCATAGCCCTGAATAGCAACAACAGGGCGTTCTCTACCTTTTCTATTGTGCACCTGATTAATAATCAATTAGTTGAAATCGATCGGCAGTTCCTCTTCGGTTCGAGCGGAACTTTTATTCGTTCTGGAACCGTGAACGATTGTTGTCCAGAGTAGTTGCCTTCACGAAATTTGGCAAACCACTCTTACCACAGCTAGACTGAGGCATTTTAAGAGCAGACAAGAGAAACAGTATCTCAAATGAGATTTTGGAACTGGTCCATCTGCTTGGCAAGTGTGTTAGAACCCGTAGAGCGAGCTTTAGATTAGAAACGGCGACATTTTAATATTTAGCCTAAAAATTTATATTGTGAAGGACTCGTCGGTCGCAAATTGACAATGTATGGGCTACTGGCTGGAACTTTAATACCCTACCCACGTCGAAGCCAACAGCTGCTTATTGTTTACATGCTTGACCGAAGTAAGATATACATGGATATATATGGTAAAGGTAGTTTCAATCAATATGCCGTGTGGTTATCAGCTACATACGTACAAAACTCGTCGTTTGTTTTGAAATCCAATCAAGTCTGTCACTCACACATTTATCTATCCCTTTCGCGTACACCATCGACGCCGGTCAAACGGTAGTTGTTCTATCACTCCTTGTATCGCATTTATTTTCTCGTTGCGTGTTCGTTTACTGTCTTGTTACGGTTTTCTTGTGACGGCTTTTGCAATGTTCTTGTTCAGTTAAATCTACTGCCTTTTTCAAGTTATTCCCTTTTAGCGATTCGATCGTATTGCTTCAGTAATGCCCCTGGCGTGTGTTAGACATATTATGACTCTGTAGAATCTTGTGTGCCATGCCTCTGTGACAAGCGTCCGACACCTCCATTGCAATAAAACTACCACAACGCTACCTCTAACCCATTACTTTTTTAGAATTATTTAGCTATTTCAAGGATAAACGGACCCCAATTTTTCAGATCTGATAGTCAATAATAATAATAAAAATAATAATAATACTGTTTGTTTTTTTCCTAGATCAGCGAGGATGTCGTTCATTACCACGACTTCCCTGAACAGTCGAAGACGTCAGCAACCGCATTTTCAACAGCAAACTTTTCGACGGGCATCTGTCGCCTCTGATCGCACAGCCTGTCCCACCCTATTTGGATTCTTCAAGACGAAACAAGATTATCCTGAACCAACATCTCTTCAAAATAGTAATAATAATAGTAGCTATGAAATCGGCCATGAATGCGGCATCTATGGCAACGACGGCAGCTACCCCAACAACAAACTATACGACCACCGATGGCATCGTTGCGCTAGCTCAAGTATTATTAACAGTATGATAAGTACTTACTACTTTAGCAATAGTAACTCTTGTTCAGGCCAACAGGATAGGCGCAAAGGTCCCTCACTACGACACAGGCAAAGTCCTCATCTTTTATCAATTGCGTTCATAACAATCGCCGCTGCAGCGCTCATGACGCCCTGTTCCGTTGCGTGGAACCTTCACTCTTCGCGTAAGTACATAACTGTAAACGTAATTAGTTCGCATATGAGAACACGATAATTAATAATAATCACCACAAACGCCTGTGCAAAACAATATCATTAATAGAATAGTTGACACTAACTGGTCTGTTGCTAAGGGGTTTGTCCATTGGCTACGTCATGCGCAAATGTGTGCGTGTACGACCCCATACGTCGAAGGTTCCCTCGAGAGAACAACAAAAATAGATAGCCGAGATAAGGTCTACTGTCTTCTTCGTATAAAGGCGATGGGATGAGGTAAGGACATACGGTAAATCAAAACGGGAAAATTGGACCTATCAGTAAGGACACTTTATAACAGCGGCGACATACATCGTCTATCCGCGTTTGGAGCATGGCGACATCTAATGACAGACAAAGCTGCCGCTTACTTTTAGATCCGCAAGCCACAGAAAAAAACATTCGTTAACGTTTTTATTGCAAAGCCTGCCTTTATTGAGGGCTAATTCACAAGTACAGCAGAAATTGCCCACTATCGAAAGTTACCCGCTATGTGCGTAGCCTACTGAGGAAGTTACGCAGCCTTATGGAAAACATGCGGAGCATTCTTCTGAAGTTGCCTGCTTCTTTTGTTGTTTTAACATGAAGTTACTCCTTGGATTAGCATTTACATAACTAAGAATTGCAAAAAATAGTCATAGAGCAGCAGAACATCCTGGATACCATTGTGGTCGCTCATAGCAATTCCCATTGCTATATAAAGACGAGGCGTCGCTCGAATGAATAACATCCCTGTTGGTATTAATGAGCTATTACTACAAGATATTTAAATTATCATGGTGTACAGCTGATTTTAGCTGGCAGATCTGGTTTTGGAGTAATCCATTTACTTGGAATAAACTCCACAGACTTCCGGGTGATCATACTCTATACAGCTTTTTATGTGCATTGTCTAGCTGAAGAACATGTGACGTAAATATCTAATAAATAAAGTTAAGAACTATACATCGCATATATAGTTAGACTACTGTTATGTTATGAGGCAGGCTTCGTATTGTTTTTCTTCAGTTAATTATGCAGATTTGTTTTCTATTGGAGTAACAAGCTTTATGCTAGATTAGTTAAGCAGAGACAGCTCGGCAAGTAACGCGTGGTTTCTCTCCATCCAAGTCTGTAACTTATTACCTATAAAGTCGATAATGGCTGTCTCAATTTGCCGTGACGTTTATATTTGTTATTACAAAGAAACTGTACACCTTTCCTGCTGTCATGCTGCTAAAGGGTACAGCAGGGCTAGTATGGAACAGCATAATTCGAGACGCTAGTCACAGCATAACGTTTCTATTACTACAGACGCAAAAGCTTGACAATAACACGTACGAGTCTCATGTTTATAAGTTAACCGTATTGCCTGTCTTTTTTTTAACTCGCAGGACATTACGTGTTTGTGAGTCAGCTCGCAAACTCTTGAAAATTGTAGGACCTACTTGTGATTCTTAGGTATTTCCTTAGTTTGATACAAGTGTTGAGAAGTTTGTCATCAAACGAAGAGATTCAGGTGATGATCCGAAAGATATAGGACGGGATGAAATAGAGAAATTAATCGAAGCGACGTCGCAGTCATTCTAATCTCTCGCACATAGACACGAGGCATGGCTGAACAAGAACTTTCAACTCGAAGACCACGTCGAGTAGTTAGTTGATCAAGCGGAAACTGTGAAATTGGCTGGCCTTTTTCGGCCTGCATTTCCATAACCGCACACTGATGTCCCCCCTTCTGACAACGGGACCGCTCTGAGCGGCTGGTCGGTCACCATTGAAAGGCGTGTCCGCTGTACTCATTCGGCAGATCAGGAGTGCAAAACAAACTGAATTGAAATGGGACTATATATATATATACATACTTTTTCTTTTTTTTAGCGATCAAGTACTACCTAACGTTCGTGAATAAGTACATACACGCGTCTGCAGTTACTAATTGCAAGAAGCTACATACAAAAGAGCGGAGAGAATTGCTGGGGATTTCTACACATATGTAGGCGAAATGACAAGGAAAAAATTAAAGCTTGTTTGAATCTCTGTCGATTCCAATTATTTTTGCGGCGCTGCCAAAGCGAGACACGACCGCCTGAAAAAAGCAGTTTGGGCAAATCTTTCTTCCTTATAAAGAAAGAAAGTGGATGGCCGGGCTCATTGCTGGTGTAAAGTTTCTGGGTGAGCTCTTTTTTGAGCGAACTTCTCTGGCACAGGGTTGAGTACGACTCATATAATATTGTCCTGCCAGCCGACGAAGTTTAGATTGACTATTGTAACCGTTAGTTTCTCACACCCACATACTGTTATAAAATTAGTAAAAGTATGTGGAAAAAAAGGCGACGTAATAGAAATTTACGAGATGGATGAATGAACGTCATATTCGGTCGAAATGATAGCCTGATGAATGACTGGTAAAGGCCACTGGAAATGCAAAAAAAAAAAAAAGTTTTTGGTGTTATCCGACGAGGATCAAAACACTAAGGATGCTACGCAAGTGTACTCATCTGTAAAACGTGTTATCGTCAAATTTTCTCTATGACATAGTACAACAGTACAATGATAATAAGTGAATTTCCGTTTAGTGCTTGTCCTCCCCAATTTGCTGTCGCATGTATAGCACCAGTCCTAAACACCGATAAAAATAAAGCTCTTTAGAAGCAGGTTATAATCGTTTTGTTTTTAAGTTTTTTTTTTTTTTTTTTTTTTTTTTTTTTTTTTTTTTTTTTTAATTCTCTGTCACATTTTATCTGTATGAATTGGAGCTTAGATTTTAAAATGGAGTATAAAATTTATATTTAAAAGCTCCAAATAAAATTTAAAAAAAAAGCTTATTTGGAGCTTTTAAATATCACGAATCCGCTGAAGAGCCCCACGCAGGATGTCTTCATTAAGTACTGAGAAAATTCTATAGTTGAGAAATGTAGATATATCTAAAAATGATTTTCTTTCAAAGCTGACCTCGTTAAGATCGAAACATCGAGCACGATGCGTTTGTTAGGTCGAAGATGCCACCTTTAGCCGTAGCAAGCCACATTTAAGTACTACATTTAGCTCTCGAGCTCCTTCTATACACATCACGCCTAACCTAAGTCGTTTCGGTAGCGTTCTTGTCTTCTGAAATTACTGAAGATGCAATTTTTCAAGACCCGACATATCTGTCCTCATAATGAAAGGCAAGATGAAGCTTTGCAATTGTGATTAATAAGGTCAGACTTTATATAGCAGAACATAAAGCTTTTAAAGTAATGAATAAAATAAAGGATTTAGCACTAACGTTAATCGAAAAAGCTGTGGGAAAGAATCAGTGAACAAACGCTCAAATCTGATTAGAACGGCTAATCGTATCGCCTAAAACGGTACGTTCGCTACCTGCTGGTCGAAACAGGACATCAATATTATATTTCAGTATCGAACGTAAGCGCTACGTATCACGCAGCCCGACATGAATTTCACGTTTATTTACTCCCTGAGGAGATTCTCGACTACATTCGCCTACCCAAATTCAACTGCGACGTAGCTGAAGAACAGGCGTACATCACCAAATCAGGCGGTAATGCTACGATGACGATATTGCAATGGAATCATCACGTTCCGGCAGAGGGTGACATTTTGACGATAGCTCTTGATTGCTCGAAGCAAGACGACGTTACTATTCCGAAATTTTCAGCGGCAAGTAATCATTCTGATAGGGGTCGTGCAGGAACGGCCACCACAAAGCGGAAACAATATCTAGAAGTCTTCAAGAATTTGAACGAGTCGACGCCGCTGGAATACGCCTCGGTGCTGCCATTACCTTCAAACGCTAAGGCAAGACGACGTAGAAGTGCCATATCTACTGCTTCACTGTGGACAACTGTCTCCGCACAAGGGAAAGCTACCAAAGTGCGTATTGTGCTCATGTTGCGATTAGTGCGTTAAAAGAGAGTTCCTCAAAGCTATAAATGTACCGAAGGCTTCGATTTAAGACACTGCAGTTCAGGCTGACTTGCTTCCTTGCTTTTTTGAGTAGCCCATCACTTCTACGACGCTACACCAACCCAAATGGTCCTATATAATGATGTCGCGGCAAAATCTCTGTAGGTCGACGGGCAAATACGCTAAAGATGTAAATGATAAGATATATACACTTGAAACTATTAATTAATCGCTATTATACAACCTGGCCGACCCTATTTTTTTAGAGTTGGTCGACTGAGTGACCAAGTACGCCTTGTATCTACGCAGGCATCGACGACACCCTTGACGACGACGACGACGACGACGACGGCGACGACGACGACGACGACGACGACGACGACGGCGACGGCGACGGCAACACCGGTAACGGTCGTAAATGCTCAGTCAAACAGCGCATCAGTCGCATCGCCAGATACCTCGATTGAGCAGTCCATTGTGACAACAGCAGAGTATTTATCAACATCGACCCTAAACGCAGTTTCTCAAATAGATTTAGCAGAAAGTAAACGCCAAACTGGAAACCAAACCGACATCATGGAATCAACTCATTTCACTCGTAACGACATGGCTGTGATAACAGAGGTGGCTTTTTCCAACAATGTCACAATAAATGAAACCATTAAATTACCACCTCCCAATCATTTCAGCCTGGTGGTGAGTAAAGTGACGGTGTATATACCGCATCGAGTAATCCGTTGGTATATGCAGGCTTAATGTTGTAAGACGGCCATATTCGTATGATATAGACCCGCGAAGAAGCTGTCTGCTAAAGCTAACTTACAGTGTCAGAACTTTGATATCTCACGTAAAGTACTATCGGGATCTATATTTGACGACAGATAGTTACTATTACAACTATTCAGAATGATATACCCTGACGGAGGGCCGTGTGTTTTGTCGCCATATTTTTCATATATACTATATATCCTAACTAGAATAACTTAGTTCACCATAAACGCTTTCTAAATGTACATAATGACTATGATTTCTATTCTAGATCACCAGGTTATCGTTCGAATTTGTGCAGGCACAAACGTTAAATTCGTTAGAGGATGTCGAAAACATTACAGGGTAAGTCTTATTTTTCTATCTATTCCAGCAAAATAAATCGAAGATGGTTGATCCAAGTGAACATAATGGCCTTTCGTTAACTAAACATAAGCTAACTTTTTGTCTGGATTACGTTAAACTAGATCTGGAAATGTACACGTGCTTTCCTTTATATAGATTTATACAATTCACCCGCGATTCGATAGGTGCACAGGCCTGCAATCGGACAGTGGTATACGCGGTTAGATATTCGAATTTGGCCAATTCTCTGGCCTAAATTCGATCTTTCATAGAGCGGCATTTAGGTGTAGAAGGCACTTTGCGCAGACTGGAAGTATTAGACTACGCAGATTTATTGAAAGAGCCAGAGAAAGTATTTAGAGCAACATGTTCCCGCCTAAGAACGGCTCGAATGTAATGCAACCTTATAGACCTGGCAATAGTTGTAAGACATTGAAACACTGAGTAACAGTTTTGTATACAAAATCGTCGTAAGGTAAATTATTGCCAAATTATTATTGGAAGGAATGAGTGGCTTTACCGCTATCTTAGCGAAATCTTAGACGGAGCCTTGAAAATGAACTTCAACTTATTCTGACAAACGTCCTCTAGGGTGCCTGCGATAAATTAGGCAGCCCCGTAGGGCATCTGAAAGGTGGATCATTTATGCTTCAAAAGCCATACAAGCACGCGCAGCGGTGAAGACGATGCTTAAATAGAGTGGGGGCAAGTCTCCTGTCGCATATAAGCTTAGGGGCGTTTAGGATCTGGGACAGTTTTTGAGCTGGATAAATGTGTATCATTTTCAGTTAATTACTAGTTATTAAATAGCAGTAAAGAAAAGTCTAGGTGAAATATCTTTGTACTATATGTAGCTCTTACGAAACTGATATGCGAGGTTGAATCAGAATTAAGACCCGCTATCGATATAGGTCATCACCTCGAACCACAAGCGTTTATGGCTGGTCAGATAATAGAACCTTTCGTTTTTTCGTCCGTAACATTTAATTTCTATAGCCCCATCCTGGTATTAACTACATAAATTGAGATTCAGCTGTTAGCCTACGAGTACTGATATATATGACCTTGTATAATTATCCCGTAGTGAAACAAATTTTGCATAACTTTGAGTAGTAAGTTCGAGTTTTCAAACTCTACTTTAGAGTTTGTCGATCTTAAATGGTTACATATTGCCCCTGTGACTTTTGTCAAATGGCGTTCCTATCACGTACAACGCACCATATCGCCAATAGCTACAGACTTTTTAAGTGCTCTGAAGGTACGTCAGCCAATCGAACTGGGCCTGCGTACATTGGAATATGGCCGTTAATCCGCTGATAGACTCATACGCTGAAACAGGCACGCTCAATTCTACCGTCGCTTTTCCGCTATAGTGTCAGTGTTGGCAGCGAACATCCCAAAGCGCAAGTGTACCTCGTGATAATTGGAGAGATGATTGCACTGCGAGGCATCTTGTCGTAGAGTCGAGGGTTGGCATCACCTGCTATTGGCATGGGCACGAAATCGAGAAACGTGTTCTTTTCTGGTATCGAAGAGTCAGCTGGTTATTTTGCAAGCAATATACCTTTTAATTGTCTGACAGCACAAGAGGTTAAAAGTCAATCGTTAGGGTAAATTAGACGAACGGTTCGCTGAGATGCAAACATCGTTCTTCATACATAGACCTCAACTGAAAGACTTCAAACAACGTAGTTATGCATAAAGAGATTCGTATTCCCCCTGCAAACTTGATGGCGAAGCACCGCTTCTTCAGATTTCGTCCGAATGCTAACTATACATATATTAACTCAAACAAAGTTATTTACTACACAAAGTTATTTCCGCTCCGGGCTTTCAGTAGTATTTTGCAATAGTCGATTTGAGATCCTACTAGATATAGGAGCAAGCTTCGTCTTATTGGAAAGAACCTTCAGTATATAATATGGCCAATATACCATAGCCCTGTTCCTTGTTTCGCTATAGATGCATAACGTATTAGGTTTAGTAAGCCTATCCACATGCAACCCACACCACCCCCGTAATTGGACTAAACTTCATTGAAAGATTATCTCATTATTGAAGGTTGCATATAGCTCCATGGGAATAACAACGAGTAAATTAATAGAAAATATCTATTGCGACTGCCTATCTAGCTGAACGTCGTATGACGAATTATGTAGAAGTGAGCTCGGAGGGTACGAAATAAAGTATTTAGACCTAATTATTTCAGTAACGAATTGGACAGCGGGGTCTGTAAAGCGCCATGTGCCAGTCGTTACCTCTTGGAAAGCTAATGTTTTGGTCTCGACTCGATAGGTGCGGGTACCGCATCGACATGAGCGGCAAAACGCTTGTTTCTACCATATACAGAATGGGTTGTCTCGAAGAAGCCGCATTGACGAAGGCTTCTTCAACTTCCGCGCCGGAGTCGAAAATGTAGCTATTTTTTGGATAACTTCTTCTTTATTTTCGCATAGATTGCATACTAGTTAGCACTTCTGAGCTAAGAACGTATTCAAAAGCAGAAAAAAGCGTGAATTTATTGACAGACATTGGCCACCGGGTAAATTATGTCTTAACACCTTTGATTTTCTACAGAAAACAATGTTATGTCATAATATCATCGACTACTTACACTGTCTATGTTCAATCATAATGGTTCAATTGAAGATAGAGGACATGATATTTGGCTGAAAACGAACTTGAGGTTAAATCAAGTTTAGCGACAAAATCCTACTGCTGATATGTCAACAGAATGCTGCATCCGATCCCTACAGCATATTATGAGACGAAGGTAACGAACATCGTCTACTTTATTGGAAAAAAAAAGAGCACGCGAAGCATCAACGAACGATATCGCAGCCAAACATGTGGGTCTAGTAATTTTTAAAAAAACAAATCCTTATTTCAAATGGAATATGTTTTTCACTGCTACGGAAGTCAATCTAAGCATCTACGTTCCGTAGCTCTATGTTTTACGTTGCGATTTGTCAAATCATTTGTGATAGACAAAGCGGGAAAATTTAAACGAGTCCTACCTGCTCTTAGCCTATAGCATTTAATGGGTGACGCCTTTCTGAATAGTTTCGCTGATGACGTTGTCCTAACGGGGGGCGATAAATCGATTGCGGGCCCAGTTCTATTGAGCTTAAGGTTTAGGAAACACGAATGGAAATTAGTATTAATCTCCCAGTGAGTTTTTTTTGGTAACGAATACTAAAGGGTAAAAATAGCACGCGTTCGGGTGCAGAGCTGTTTTTATCGGCAATTGTAGTGTACGGTGATTCGTATAAACGACAATGTGGTAAAAGTTGGAATGACATGGAAGTTCGTAGGACAGTGGGTTGTATGTCAGTTGAATTGAGTTGTCCAAACTTATGGAAACATCGGACAAAATACTACCATTACAGTATAAATAAAATTACAATATAACACGCTTTAGCTTTAAATCTCTATCGCAGCCTTCATAACGATTAAAAAAACAACGAATTTATTCAACCTACACGGGTCGTGTTAGGCTTTACAGAGATTATTTTGTTGGGGTGAAGGCCTTGCAATGGAAACAGAGCAGACCATGTTCCGAACAGTATCCCTGAGCTTGAGTTGTATGGGATAATGATTATTAATCTGAAAGTTTAAAGCTAGACCTTATTTTTCGCCTGACCTAGGTTGCCAGGGCTTTTCCTCAAGAAAACATCGAATCTTTAGCGATAACAGCTGGCAGATACTTTCGCGTTCCGTAAGAAGGCCCTTTCCAGCGCGTAAAAATTGCTAACCGTAAGAGATATCATACGAAATTATCAGATACATGCTATGCTTCGTCAAATAACCCAGACGCATGGAGAAAGCTTAACATTGTTAACGTAACAGAAAATAAGCCAATTTACATGATGTGTATTCATAATAAAACATACAATTCACAATCGGCTAGGGAGGATTGGCTAACTAACAGACCCCAAATAAATCTCAGATAAAATTTATACGAACGAATGAATGAAGTACCAAACAACGCGTAGTTGACCAAAATGTACGTGGTGGACAGAACATTTTGTTTTAGCGTATAGTTTAATGGTGTCTTTTTAACGACTTCGTTATGGCGCCATCTGTCAAACATTAGAGATATCATAAAAGGGCTCGGTCGCCGCTGTATACGATTGAAAGTATGAAAACGACACGTCAGCATAAGGCCCATGAGAAAGGCGTGGCTAGCGGAAAAGGGGAACGCTCGGCAACAAAAGGACACATACAGCCGATGCCGTCGCTTATGCCGTAATTGGGGCTATCTAATGTAGCAATACTTATACATGTTTTATGGGGTAGTTAGTGGATCATTCACCACGAAGTCCGGACTGAAAACGGGCTTTTTATTGTTGCCTGTCTAAGTTGTTTTAAACGCTACCGTATTGTTGCGTATTGCAGTAACTTGTACTTGTGATACCTTTTCAGGGACATGGAACGCTTGCTTACTCATGGAAACGAATCCCGATGCATTGTTTTGCCTAAGGATGTTCGCTCAGTCAATAGACGTTATGTTTTACTTGCTGTTGTGGAGGCCTCTTCGGGAGAAGTGATCAGAGCTGGTGATATGCTTAAGTGAGTGCAAACAAGAGGCAATAATAACAATGATAAACATTTTGCGGCAGCAAGATTCATTCTCATACAATCTCAGATTGTTCCTCTTCCGAAAGAGACAGTGCTTAGAAGATTCATAGTCCTAAACACCTATCTGCCGGTAGTTTCTAAGCTAATGCGATCAGTCATCGCCAGATGACCAATTTCTTACTGGAAGCATTGTCTACTTCTCTGTTGTTTGCCGTGTGACCCTATATCGCTGTCTATGAAAACGTGGCCACTACCAGTACTAGAATTTTGCCAAGTTGAACACAAATAGTACAGAACCAATAATCAGAATAAAGCTTATTTTTTTTTTTTTTTTTTTTTTTAGCGTCTACAAACGCAGTAAATCGTGCATGTGTTTGAACTCTCGGTAAAACGCTAATCTGATCTGAAGTACTGGATAGCTTTTTTCCTTAATGTTATGAGTGGTGAAAACATTCACCGCTAGAGCTCAGTGGGTCGCTTGGAATATTGTATACGTCAACGGATCTGTCGGTAGGTGTCTGTACCAGCCAGTACCGTTGGCATCATCGCGAGCTTACGAACTCGAAGTTAATTTACTTTTCACTGCTACGCGCTGCTATTAAATTCGTCTGAAGTCGCTTAAAGTATCTCAGTCAAAATGCCATATATTATATAGTACATATGGGAATTGAGACCGTACGACGTGCGCTTCATTAAGAAGATAGTGCAAACTATTGCACATACATCAGAATAGCGTGCACTTCTTCGTGACACATCACAGATCTACGTTTATAGCTTTCCGCATTAATTTGTATCTAAATTGTTAATAGTTTTAAAAAGTCGTTCGACGTTATAGGACCTCTCGTTAAATATTAAACTTACAGGGGGTTACTATTGGAGGTCATAAACGGGGTCTATTTTGACGACAGTCAAGTGTTCTTCCTATAACCAGTTGACAACAGATCGGACCTGTATGTGGTCATCATGTGTCGCTAACAAGCTTTATGCTATTTCCTGTTCTTTAGTGCTTCCCAGAGTGACGAGACGCATATTGTTCGAACTGAAAGAACTTAACTAGGGCATTCATGAATAGCAAGACTGTAACGTGGGCTTTAAATTGAACAACTTGAAATTTCTATTGAACGGATTTTCAATGCCGATAACTTCAATACAATATATTGGGCTACCATTCTTCGATTTACATATGATCCTATGTGTTTAAATCGCAATTGATGTCAACGTGATCTCGCCCGTATATTGTAGTGTTTCTGTGAACGTTTCCATGACAGTTTAGTGAATAAAGAGCTTACCAGCTAACTTTAGGGTCAGATGGCGGTCTGAGTTCCAATCCGCGCGTAGACACAGATGAAGGCCAGCAGTCTGATGAAATCTTAAACAGTGGCGTGGGATGCAAAACTCAATGTCTGTGTAATCGGTAGCAATTAATACTATTAATAATAAAAATGCAATCTGTTCGAAGTTAAGCTTGTGTCACGATAACTTTTCTAAATACAGTTTGACGCCGCTTCTGAAAGAATCTACTTATTTATCTAATTCCTACAAGGCGACTACTGGTTTTAACCAAACGCTGTTTTCTTCCGATCTGGCCCTTTGCCGAGATTGAACAAAAGAAACATCTGAATTTTGTTGTTATCGTTCGGTGCAATCTTTTGTTGCAGTACATGTGGTCAGGAGGATTGGATGGAAGCGTCACAAGCGTTGCCGGATCTCTCTAGGCTTCGTATGCTGAATTCGAAGAACTTTCAACTTCAGATTTTGTGCGTGACGTTGGCCGCAGCCGTCGTCGTGTTCGCACTGTCGGCGGTGTTCCTTTGTACGAAGTGGAGGCTCGCGTAAGTCTGCTTCGATAATACCACGGTAGCTCGCACAGGTGCTAGAGTATTACTAATTAAAGGACCCATAAAACTATCCGGTAATATGCCTGCAATTTTCTCGGCCTATCCAAAAGAAATAGTTCGAGACTTTTTTAAAGCATACCTTTTCGAGTGTCCAACAACTTGATTCGAGTTATGATTAGGCTGCCGGAGCTACTTAGTTGGTCGGAAAATTAGTATGACTTTTCAACCGCATAACGTAAAACAGCAACGCATTGTACAGCAACGTACTCCCTTTTGTTGTTTACACATTGAAACTCTATACAGCCTTGTAACTGCGACCTAATCTCACCATCAATGGCTTATTCGAGGTTAGGGACCTCGACGGTAGGGTACATTAAGCCACCTCACACCTTTTTAGGGGATAGAATGCATAAAAAATAGAAAGACTTATGAATGTAAAGGCGAAATATAGAAACCATTGTCTCCGTAGCACAATGATGAGGTCACCGAACGAAAGACCCGTATGCTATCGATTGTCGTGTCACGTATTCAGCCTTTAAGGAATTTGAGATCTGCGATAGTATTTTTTAGACAATATCTCGTGGTAGTAAATATCTCTTCAGTTTACGGCCGAAGTATTATCGCCTGTTAAACGCCTTTAGTGTAGGACACGGACTGATTCACAACCCGCCTATGGCAATGACGTGCTTTGGGCTATTCTTCTATTTATCAGAGCTACGCAGATTGTCTCTCGCATTAAAGACCCGTCTTTTCATATGGTCTAAGCTCGGTTCATGAAGGACCAATTTTTTGCTTTTTATATTAATTCACAATATTTTCGTGAATATTTCATATTTGAACCATATTGAACCAGCAGTAGACGTCTGTGACAGTGAGAGATACGTGGTCAACTCAACCTATTGACCTTAATCACCCAATTTTTTTCCATAGCATAATTGTGCCAATAACAGGCCGTTATCGTTTTACTGGACGCTTCCTGAAGATAGATCTTATCTTCTTGCTTTCTATTCTATGCTATATATCTATATATATATATATATAGATCACTGAGCTTCCTATTCGCCTGTAATACTCAGTTTATAGTTATAGGCACCCAAAAACTTGATCTAAATATTTACCATTCGCTGTATGCGGGAGTGTGATTTAAACGTTTTTCAAATCTATAGACTCACTAAATAGCGCCAGACAAGCCAATATTAAAATTTGTGAATATCTTAGGCCTTACCTTTGAAGGTTTTCTGAATTGTTTTCTTTATGAATAGTGGGCCCGTAGTTCTTGCTTGATTTAGACCTTCAAAGTTCAAACCTTGAGCGATGCTAATGTTACGGCATGAGGCGTTCATAGAAATTAACGCAACTGACAGCCACGCTTTTCCTCTTCTCGTTCCTTATAGTTTAATGATCTATAGCTTGAGGCCTGCCGTAAGTAAAGGTACACGAGTAGCATTGGTATATTAATTGCGGTCTTACCCGTTTCGCTAGTGATGGGGTTTTAAGTCAAAAGGCCCCATATCAGTGTCGTTCGGTTGCGAATAAGAGAACCCACAGGGAACTACTTCTACAGGCAGCTAAACTTTGCAATTACCTAAACCTAATTCTAGCTATACCTATTTTGGGTCGTAGTAGACTTCTTGAGCCTCAAATATATTTCAGAAGAAAGGAAAAAGAAGGATTTTGCCAACTGCGTTGCAAACAACCGTCGACATTAGGTTGCTTCAATGATGGTCAGCTGTGCGTTTTTGTCACCTGGAAAAGTGTGGCAGCACTATACGACAGGCTTATGTATATTGCATAGACAAACTTAATACTGTATATTTACGAGATGATTATAAATTGGATGGGACTTGCGAAAAACATTTCCTTAACATTCATGGAAACTCGTGGCCCAATATGTTGTGTGTAAGTTGGAAAAGCTTAAGCACAATCACTGTTAATAGATTTGTGCTTTACTATGGCATAGATGGCTATTGCATCTATTGTTTTAACTCTGTATGCAGCAGGAACACCTTCGGCGCTGATTTTAAGTTATGCCCTCTACAGGTAGCAACTTAATGGAAGTGGGACGTATGGCACATTCAGCTGACTGATGCTAGTGAACGAAAATCTACGGTCGTTGGTGGCATCCGATCAAACGGAACGAAGAGATTCACTATGTACAACCGCCTGTACAGGAAGAAATCGGTGCTCTCTATCATAGAGAAGAAGAAAGTAGATGACTGAGCGAAGACCTCATTCTAATTCTACTCCGAGCTGACGTTACGATCAGTTGAGAGACTGAGCTTATTCATTATGTGTTGACCAGCACACGTCCAGCGCCATGCCTGCCAGTCATTTCATTGTACTCTCTTTAGCGAACAACAGTAACTCTTTAGATTTTTTGCTCGTCCCGAATAATACAACATATTTCCATTGCGTGTAGTTTTTTCGAGGATTTTATCATTTATGCGGATCCTCTAGTTGACGCTACGTGAGCCAGTTGACATTGTCCTAAACTATCGGCAAATAACTGAAACTAAATAAAAAAAAAAAAAAAAAACAAGCCAAGCCAGCGTTTATAGTCAATAGATGTTTCATGTAGAGATCCTTGCTTGTGTTCGATCCTCATAGACCAGTTCAGCGGAACTGCATCTAGAATAATTCTTAGTGGTTCTCATAGTATCTACGCTTATTAATATGCCTATGCTCATGCTGTTTCATGCATCCCGATACCGATGGATTGTTAGAGTGCCATTCACGTCTTCTGAGTTATCAAAAAGAAAATTAACTACCTGGTGAAGACAACGTCTGTGCTCGATATGTTTATAAGTAGAAGCTTCATTAGGTCGTATGTGATACGTATGCTATGCCAGAGTCATTTTTGTACAACAACAAAGGTGGCATTTCCACTATGTAAAAAAGGGCTACCCTATTCTTAACCTTGCTGTTCCAGTATCTTCAGTCGAATCGAATGTTGCGTTCTTACAACAACGTTCGATGGAAACCGTTGAATCGGAACTTTTTGCACGCATTCTATTTGTAAACCTCGCAAAAATCACTTCATCTAGGACAATTTGCTTTGATCTTTTTATGCTCTTTGGCTAATTATGCCAAGTTTTCTATCTGCATTAGCCTTGCGAAGTGGGCTGTCGGTCCTTCCTAGTCCTTCCCGGATACCCTGAAGTTAGCCTTTTTCCTTTTTAGTCCAAAATGCACCACAATTGATGTGCCCTTTTTGATCCATCACAGACAAGGTCCCCTCTCCCTGTTCTGCTCAGCGTTAAATTGGGACAAGAAACGCGCTTTTTTTATTCAATAAATAGAGGCGTACCGACAGCAATGACTCCTTACGGGGGACGTACATAGTAGCGTATACAAGTTTTACTTGAACGAACTCCTCGAGCTCCGGTTGTCCCTGTTTTGGCTAAATGAATGCTTAAATGTACGTTAATTCATCGGAGTTCTGATCTCTGGCACTCGACCTTGGTCTGTCGAAGATGTGGCTGAGGGGAACAGGTCGATAGAGAAATTACGTGGGTGTTATGCCCAATCGCAAATTTGATTCGCTTTTTTATTTTCAAACGTACACGTACACGATGCCGCGGATACGTATACGTTCCGGTAGTAAACAACAAACGAGGGAGATTTGCAGTGAAGTCAGTTTTCAGCAGCCACCTCCCGTAGTCATATCATCAATTCTACCCTTGATGCTTATTTCTTTTGTGTGATGCTACCATAGAAAGCGGCAGCGTGACCTTTTGTATGTGTGTAACTGGTATTTCTTTTAAGCCTTCATAATGTAGCTAAAATGTGTGGCCAACTAGATCTTAGCCATTTCCCATAAGCTTTTCCCCTTAACGATCTATAGGGTGGATAAATGGTCGTTGTTTCTACTCATTCGTTAACACGTTGATCGTAGATTTCTATTATAATAATGTTTCCCATAAATTTGGCTGAACTGCGTGACAAGCAGTGAGGTAGCTTAATAGTGGAGCTGCGGACGTGACCCCATGGCCTGCCCGGCCCATGATTCTCAGGACACATATATATGAGATACGACTCTAATTTTTTTCTTTGTTTTCATAAGAAGAACATTGTTTATCCACGCAAAATCGTGTAGTTTATATGTGACTTTATATATACTAACATAAGTGAAGCTAAACTACTGCCTTCATAGTCTGAGCTCGCATGAAACATTTTTCATAGCAAAAATAATCTACTCGTAAGAAAAAATAGAGGTAAAAATACGACAATAAGGCTATCGGTAAATGTAGCTAACTGTGAATTTATCTTGGTTACGATATTTATTATTATTACGCTATGGATTTCAGAGTGCGCAGATTCCGTAGAGATGCCTCGGACGGATTCACCATAAAGACTTTCCACACTCAGTATGTATCCGTGGAAATACCATTATTATTAGTATCGTCGCTGGCCAATGTTGTATTTACCTATGTCTCCACCTAGATAATTACTTCTTATGATATAATTAGATAGACTTACCTACAAGGTAGGCCAGTATGGTTGCAATACCTCAACGTATATTCTAGGCGTACTAATGTACGGTGCGTTCTCATACGGAAAAGCACGGATTTTGTAGACACTAAAAATATGCCTGTATATGTACACAGGATTTTTATCCTTGCCGTTTAATAAGCATAAGGGTTCTATATATCTGTTGGGTATTCACTCAACATCTAAGGGCTGTTTGTTTCGTTGGTAAGCGACATAAGTATCGTTTGGTGGCACACGTTTTAATTGCGATATTCCCGTTTTTGTAGCAGATTTCATAGGCCAATTGCCCTCTGACCATGGTGGGCTGTTCCGTATATGTCAAGGGCTTTGTTAGTAGGGTCTTTGAACTATTTAAGCCATTGCCATAAATTGCCATATGATTTTTGTAAAATAAATGTCTGTAGTTTGTCGTTTTTTAAAACTTACGTGATGTTACAAATTTCTTCGCGTTCTTTTTGGGTCGGTGCGTGGTACGGCCATCGTCAACTAAACTTAGCCATACGTTCGAAATATTTCTAGATTAAAGTAGCCAAAAATAACATACGCTTTTAGTATCGTTTTCTGTCGACCGTCAGCATGGGGAGTTCTCTTGCTTTTCCCTCTTTTAAATTTAAAGAGGTTTTTGACCCGTTTCCAGGGAACACCACTACAGGCCGGACGATGACGACCACTACGGCTTTCCCACAATACCAAGAGACAGGTAATGCCGCTGAACACGTATTTTAGCTGCATGAGACTGAAGGGCTCAAGTGGCTCAATAAGACGTAATTAGACTATAACAGTCCACACCGGAAACATGAGAAAGAAACGCCGTTCTTTTTCGTCTACACAGGCTACAGGGTTTGCTAGCATGTCATGCCGTCATCAAGAAAGATTCAACTTTTTCAGGCTAGATTTGATACGGGAATACGAAGTTTTAGGGTCTTTTGTAACGCAAATCGGCCCGCGACTAATTTGCATAGGCTTGGCGGATATACATATATGCTTATTTCGATTGAAATTTTCACGAAAGGCGGAACGAGCTCGCCGTTATGGTTGTTTCAATGGGGCTTGGGTGGTGTAGGATACGCATGAACTAGCCCTAGCCTGCCAGTCGGGGTTAATTTTTCCTACTGTGCCATATTTATTTTATAATAACATATGTTCCCGTTGGTTTTGATACCTCATTTATTGATGCAATCCATTTAGTACCTTCTATAGACAACCTAATGAAGTCGGTGGGCGACCCGGTGGCCGCTGCGGTGTGACGGAAGAACATGGTTCAATGGGACGAAGTTCATTCGTGAACGGAGGTTTTCACGAAGAATCTGCGGAAGGCCTACCGCCGCCTCCACCGGAGTTACGGGCATGCCTGATCGACGACGCTCACTTTACCGATGTGCCTCTACATAACGTAAGTTTAATCTTTCGAACGATATTTCAATCTGAAAGACAAGCCATTGTATGCTCAAAGCATCGATAACGTCGCACGCTGCGGCAATGAGTTCACTATCGTATGATTCGCGCTTAATTTCCAAGACCTTCGAAGTCTCTTGATTCTGAATCACCTTAACCAAATACATTGAGCTGGATGTTTATGTAGAATTTCAAGTTTAATTTTACGGCGCTGAAGTTAGCGGACGCATACAAATATTAACTAAAAATTCGTAAAGTGCAATACTATAATACTGCCTTGCAGATTGATACGGAGTAGACTGGACGACGCAAAGCGGGATGCACTCTGATTTTAAGAGACAAATCTTGCTTCTAGTGCGATTATGTCGTCTACCCTTTCTGCTTGACATTTGTTTTCCTTAAATACAACAGCTTTTTCGTTTCATCTTAAGTCACGGACAGCTTCCTCCAACTCTTTGCACTCTTTTGTTATAACAGAGTGATTATCTCACGTGAGTATTTTTCTTGGATGGCCAACACATATTCAGTGTTAACCGTCTCTGCAAAATGTTGAGATGAGATCGTATCGCTTGAAAAAAATGCTAGACAAATGGTTGAAATTGCTTGCATTGGTTGAAATTCAACGTTCGAATACTGCTCAGGAGTCCACTGCGACTAGCTAGCTCCCACTACCAAACAAAAGAGAATAGATCAAATGACTTTCGGGTCCACCGACGTTCGCTGGTGTGTATGACCGACTGTGCATATTTGTAAAAAAAAATAAAAAAAGTCACACAAGAACGACGAGTACGTTTCACATTAATGCATCGATTCAGAACTTTCTGTGGAAGCAAACTATCTTGAACAGCTACGTAAATTTTAGCACTCGGAAAGCCTACGCGGGCACTCTCTGTTTCAGTTTTCCTTCATACATAGAATCGCATCCAGATTGTTCATATTTTCATTGTAATTCATCGAAAATTTTCTCCGAGGGCTTTAAGTTAGCAAGTGAGGACGCAATAGCTAAAAGCCCCAACTGAACGGGCTGAAGCAGCCTTGCTGTTTGGTGCACGTAAACCGTCTTCGTGCGCTTCCTATCGTCCGCACCATGCCCTCGATCCCAAGAACGTCACAACTTGCGGCCCTTTTAGACAGCACTTTAGAAGCTGTGATATGTATAAGCTCGGCCTTGTGTACTATTTCATCTGCTTTTTACCATTAGATCATAGCTACATGCATTTTTTGCACCTTGCGTAGGTTTGTGAAGCGGAATAGTATATCGACAACGATGTCGCGACGGTCGATGATAAAATCATTATTAACTTTTGCCCTGGCTTGTTGTTACGTATGCTAACTTTTACGGCGTTTTAGGCTGTCGTCTGAACGATGAGATCGATTAGACAGAAAGTTAATTGAAAATATGTTTATCCAGGGACACATGCTGTTACCATGTCGAGAAAATGTTCTTGAACAGCATATGACTATATAGGATCATATGTAATATGTAGAGACTTGAATAGAAAGAAAACGTAGAAGAGGCCGTTGAATGATAGCGGCGGCGCAACAAAGCAAACATAAAGACAAAGATACTTGTTTATAGTTTCCATAAAACGTGACGCTGACGGTGGATGAAGCGTTCTAGTTTGACATTAAGCACTGTCACCTTGAGTCATTTTGGCTCAGTTCCCTGATATACTGGCAATCCTGTAGGGTATCAGGATATTTTTAGAAAACTTTGCGTTACAATTTTCCAGTGCTGTTTTTGAGCGAGTACCATGGTTGATTTGGTACCAAAAAAGAGCGTGGAGATATTCCGCTTTATTCTACTTGACGGTCGCTCCTAGATGAAGCTTCATTGCACCAAGAATGTTTGAGATAACTGCATACAATAGGATTTGAAGAAATAATATTATATATACTTATTACTTACTTACACGATGTGACATGACATCGAGGGCCTCTGAATGAAGTTCCATAAACTTAGTTACTTAGTTAGGTCAAACATAGTTACTGCCTATTCTATCTACTCTGCCCGTTTCAATTTCCTTCACCGTCGTACTTTAGACATGTCTGTATACAGCCGAATGTACCAACAGTAATTGACGCAATTCAAGTAAGGCGATATTAAGCTATGTATGTCTAATAATGCCAGAAACCCAACTGGTCAATTTGGTGACGTTGATCTTTGTTAACTTTTCCATATTGAGCAGCATACCTCGGCCATAAATGCAATGAGTACAACTATCTTACTCAATAGACGGAATATCTATACGTTTGACCGTTTCGAACAGCATCTGCAAATAGTATCACTCAGACTGTTGTTCCACGACTTGCAATTTCTTGTCTAATGATCGCATTGCCCACTGAACAATATATCTATGATGCCCCATCTCGAACCGATGCTTATAATGAATGAAGTGCGTCACGTTGAAGAAAGCTAGAGCACGTAACGAAGGTTATGAAGCTTAAAAGACGAAAAAAGACGACCTAGGCACTGATTGAAAGCAGGGTCTTTTCGAACACTGCGTTAAATGAACGTTTCCTCCTGAACACGAAGTTGTGCCAAAACGTGTGCAGGATGCCGAACAGGAAATAGTGCAGGTTCGTGAAGACCGCCGCTGCTGACAAATGTTGGCTAAGGCCTCACGGTTCTAGCGTGCTAAAGAGCTAGGTGGATTCGTCTACGACCACATATGACGTCGGTGCGATCGGGTGCGAAAAATGTATTATTAATGTTTGTTTATTCTAAAATTACATGTATAGTATTTTTGTTGATATTACATAAACGTGTACTCAATCTCTTCCTCTTTAACAAACAACGTCCTTGACTGTATCTCACATATCTCTGGAGAAGCGAAAAAAAAAAAAACACTTCTATTGCTGCTATCGGCCATTATCATAACAGTAGAAAATCATTAAAGTAAATGCCAGAAGGGCACAAATAATACACGAACGACTACTCCCGAAATGAAAGCGACCTGCAATCTTGTATCGATCTTGTATAAACGATTTGACCATCGCAGTCGCTTCCGTTCAGGTAGTAAACGATTGACTGACACCTCTTTAAGCTGCAAATGTCCTACCGATTAGTTCTACCGTGAGCGTATATCGATCGGGACAATTTGACACTGATAAATACTTAAAAAAATAAATAGAAATAAATAGACCCAACCAAATCACTTTGCCTGCTCATTCTATGTGGGCCTAAGGGGCGTCGAGAATTCTCAACGCCTTTTTCTTTATTTATGTACACATGCTCTTCACGCAAATAATTATGACTGGGCCTATCTAAATTTCCTGCGTGGTACTACTGCGATGTCGAACACGTGACTCATGGACGCCAAAAGCACTCAAAAAATCAGATGAATGCATGCATGTTTGAATTACAGAATCATTATTACTATTATACCATTAGGGATAGCTAGGACTAGTCTGATATCATCTTCTATAATCTCTGTAACACCTATGAACATTACAAAAACGTCTCAGCACTCCATTTTCATAAAATCTGTGTCTAATGTAATGTTGGTTATCGTTTCATTTTAGTTGGCTTCCGACTCCCTAGATCGGACAGCTGGCGCACGCAGGGGCGTCCGCACCTCACCGCCGGTACCTCCAGTGAGGACGATCTCCTCGGGTTATAATACTACCTCTGGACAAAGCAGTCCGGCATCACCATCCATGAGCCCGCTGTCACCTGTGTCGCCAGAGTACGACCGACCGCATGAGGTTTGTGTGTAGTCTCATTTATGTGCGTTTTCAGTCGTATACGTTTTTATGGTGCGCAATGTGCGGTGCGCAAAAGCTTCATTCGTTAATGCACTTTTGTAGTCTTTACGGTTATCTTAAGTTTTTGCCACTGCAGTGTATTATTTCCCCTAAATATAAGAAACCATACACTTCGTTCTACGTAGGTCAGATCTTTCTTTCCACCCATGTAAACTAGACAAAAACCTAATCCGCAAAATTCTACAATTCCTAGCCGATATATATATATATGCGTGTAAAGGCACTCTTTGTTGAGACGTATACATCTTATGCCATCTTTCTTTTCTCATTACTTTTATCTTTAAACGAACTCGCAGTATTCAATGTAATTGTGGATGTCTTTAATCGTTTTTCGCTCTCTGTGTAGACTCTTATACTATTTATACTATATATATTTATACTATGTATATTTATACTAATTACTGATCTGTCAGTTGTGTTCCTGCGTTGTCATTCATTTCTTATGCTGGTTTTGCTTTTCTCGTCGTTTTAAAGGTTCTCAATATGATGCCGCCGATTCCCAAGGAGGATTACTCTGATTCCGACGATGATGACTCCGGGGCAGTGACAGTTACGGGTGCTGAGGGCCGACGGAGTATCACGCAAAGGCCTTATGCGGGACAGCAGGAAAAGGATCAGCGCGATGGCCGTTTTACCGTACGCACTGTACTCTAAACGTAACTTGTATTTGAGTCACTTGTCAAGTGCACTCCACGAAACTATTCTTGGTCCTCACGGAGAAAAGAGGATCGGCCGAAAAGCTCTAGCAGGAACGCGTAACTCGTCGTGAAGTAGCGGAAAGCTGAGCGAAATATACAATTCCATACAAGAAGCATACGTAGCCATGTTACTACTGCATAATACTATATCACTCATGATAGCCGTATTGAACGAAAAAAAAGATAATAGGCTAAAAAAAAAAAAGAAAAACGCTTAAAACAGAACTCCAATTACAATCACTATATGAAAATACGTGTATGCTGAAAATCGAATGATTTTTAGAAGTACCTCAACAAAACAAACATCGGAGATATCGCAGAAGCAAACAAGAATCACGTGTCGGTAAAGATATTAAGCAGCTTTTAAATTAGCTTATGAATATTCTGAGGTTAGGTAGTCTGTACCTTGGCTTCAAATCCAGATTCAGGCCCAAATTTCGAGCTACCACATCGTACTCAGGTAGAATGCTATTCTGACGATAACGCATGTCGGAATAGATTTTGCACTTTCTGCTTGACAAATGACTTTAATCAGCTTTTAGGCATTATTTATAATTATGATACTAATGCCTAGTGTTATTACAAGGAGAAAGGTTGGTCACAAGCTTTAATTCAGTTAGTGTTGCCAGTTGTTCCGTGTCAAACGAGTTCTATGACTTTAACCTATTTGACTGCTACGACAAAAAAGAACCAGGTTAGCCAAGAACCTCTTCGAGGATAATTTTTACCCTGTAACACGAATGGCTGATACGTACGATTTCAGCGTTATACTACAACAGCCAGCGATTCGGAATAACCACGAAAGCCGTACGACTTTCGAATTATTTTGAACTTCCTTATGGCGGGCCTTTTCTCTGGGAAAACTTTTTTGAAACTTGCGAATGCAACATTTAAGGTCACGAAAAGTGAACACTTCGTTTTGAGACAGCTTTCATAAACAGCGATAATGTCCAATTAGGCCGGCGCGGAATTATTTACAAAACTTCGTGCCTCAACCGTGTTTGAAAACATGCGGTTAGAATCACATCGGGTCCAGGCGCAGCCATGTATTATATTATAGGTGAAGAGTGTTCGAAATACAAACTTCATCTGAGCTGCCCGTTTAATCTCGGAGTCTAAATCGGGCTGTTGCCCCGCATCGTTCTGCATGGTGCGGGAGTAGTTTTTGCACGATTTTTATCTTTCCCCTTTAATCGTTGTGAGGCGCATTTGATGCACCTATGGCCATCTCAAATCACATGTGGGTTATGTTCCATGTTGTCAATCAACACGAGTCAGCAGACGTGACACATGCCATCGATGATGATCGGAGAAGACTGAGGACGATTGCAATGGTAGTAGCTATATATTAGTTGTGTTAATAAGGTCGTATATGACGTTACTGTTCGTTTTGTTGTTGTTATTATTATTATTACTGTTATTATTATTACAGGATATAATAACCGTTGGCGTGTCGTATTAGCGTCATGGTACTTAGTATACTTTTAGGCTGGTGTACGTCACGGCTGATTTAGTAATACTTCACACCGTCTATTGCAAGAGTGGCAGAACACATAAATACGAAAATCAGTTGAACGAACGCATCGCAGTGCAGAAGACATACGGAGAAATGGGAAAACCTAATGTAGCGGCATAGTTTTTTCAGTAACAAAATAGGTAACTAAGCAAAACAAGTAAACGCGTCACGGATGCAGTCATGGTTTGATTTTTAAAGCATCACTAATTACGTGTAGCTTTTTTTTTTTGAAAATCTTATTCTTATTTACATATTCAGTTAATTGGGATTTTGGGTAGTTTCCTAGCTGAGACATTCGCTTGACCCAACATAGATTTATTAGGGTAACATTGTTAAGAAGCAAATTAGTAACACTGTTACTGTTAATTATTCGTATACAATCAATAAACCAATCTTATAAGTCTGCGTTCACAGGATTGATTACAAACGTCATAATAACAAGGGTGCTAGAGATAAATATAAACTGCACGGTGATAATTAGTATTATTATGATATTCATAACAATTCTAATGATAAATATTATTATAATAAATAAAAGCTCATCGTTGTAATTTGTCAGGTGAAAACACCAATCATATCGTTGTTTTCGATCATGACAGGGTCTCTCTCTTTTTGGCGGGGGGATTGGCGGGATTCGTCGTCTAACAAAGTCAAACATGCCCTATTAAAAGTTATGGGTTATAGCTAGTTCGTGCTTCGCATCGTCTATTAGTAGCGTAACTTCCCGTAGCCGTAACTTCTCGTGAGCAACCGGCGATTTTACCTGGCGGGCTAAAGAGCCGAAGCAAGCTGGTACGGCTTTTCTTGTAGATATCAGTTCAAGCATATATACACCAATATTATGTGAAGCACTCAAAGCTGATTTCCAACGATAGTGTTTGCTTTGCCTAAAGAGTTTACACATTGGAATTCATATGATCGAAGCCGGCGCTACTGAAGCTTTAAGACAAATACGTATATATGCGGTACGTACAATGTATAGTTGGCGGCCTGAAGTTTCGCTGGCAAGCCCCAGAATTCGTGTGGACAAACAATTCTCGCTCGATGTAACCTGCTTGAACGATAGGAATGTCCTATATTGTTCTTCCTGTGTATATA